TATAATATTTTTTCATCTACAATTAAATGTAAATAGTTGTAATAATTACCACTCCTTTGACCCTGTTTGAGTTGAACAATAGACTTTATTATACAGAGCTTTCATTTCAAAAGGAGCCAGTCACAATAACTTTTGACATTAAGTAAATGTATTTTCAAGCAAAAACAGGTCGAWTAGGATCGCGAGGGGGAAGTTCAAAACCAACATTAGTTACATTTTAAGTTTCATTTCCTAGTCGCTAGCCACCCCTACTTTAAAATTTTAAATAGCACCCCCTACTTTTTAAAACATTTTCGGAAAGGGAAAAAATAAGCGTAGATAAATGTCAAAGAAAAATGTTTTTTGTCGATTAGTCTTTCAGTTAGAGGTGGGTTAATTTTTGAAATTTGTAGTTCTAGTAGCCTTCGATTCAATTCAATTTAGTTTAAATAAAAAATATGTCGATTCGGATAGCGATGGAAGAGTTCAAAACCAACATAAAATACGTTTATCCACGACTATTGTATAATGTACCCCTTATATGTCTGTTTACTCGATCTTAATAATACCCATTAAACACTAGTGATTAATGAGTCATTAATCACTCTCATTAATCACTGCTGTCAGAAGCTTCCTTGATTTAGTTATAATATTATATTGTTTTGCTACAAACAATTATTGGTTTTTAAAATTTTATCGTGTAAACCACTAAATATTTTCTTTCAATTCAGTTCTGTACATATATAAAAAAAAATTAAAAAAATAATTTTCCTTGACCAGATTCGAACCCGGGACTAGCAGTTGGAAGGCAACCAGCATCGACACAGAGCCATTACCAACTTTGAATGTGTGTGTCGTATATCTGTTTCTTAACATACTTAATGTAAGAAAATTTTCCAACACAAAATCTTCAACAAAAATAGTAGTCGTAGATAAAGTATAGTATACTACTCGCGTATAATGGTTATTATTCATTCAGTGATTTAAGCCACTCGCCTGCGGCTCGTGGGCGTAAACTTCACCTCGTYAATAATAACCATCATTATACGCTCGTTGTATAATATACTATTTAGGTTTCATCCCCTAGTTACTAACCACCCTTACTTTAAAATGTTAAAAAGCACCCCCAACTTTTTGAAACAGGGCGGAAAAAGCTTAACCCAACCGTAACTAAAAAAAAATATTTTATGGATTCGTTTTTGAGTTAGGGGTAGTTTTATTTTTGATGTTTAGTCCTAGTAGCCTTTGACTGAACTCAGTTTAATTTAAATAAAAAGTATGTCGATTCGGGTTGCGATGGAAGTCTTCAACTGAAAAACGAATCGACAATTTTTTTTTTCATTTACGGTTAGATAAGCTTTTTCCCCCKTTTCCAAGAATATTTTGAAAAGTTGAGGGTGTTTCTTAAAACTTTAAAGTAAGGGTGATTAATGACTAGGGAATGAAACCTAAAACGTATTTTATGTTGGTTTTGAACTCTCCCATCGCAACCCAAATCGACGTATTTTTTATTTAAATTAAATTGAGATGKATCAAAGGCTACAAGGACTAAAAATTTTAAAAATTAAACCACCCCTAACTAAAAAACAAATTAACAAAAAAAAAATTTTCTTTGACATTTAGATACGCTCATTTTTTCCCTTTCCGAAAATGTTTTAAAAAGTGGGGGGTGCCATTTAAAATTTTAAAGTAGGGGTAGCTAACGACTAGGGGAAGAAACTTAAAACGTAACTAATGTTGGTTTTGAACTTCTCCCTCGATCCTCGATCCTAATCGACCTGTTTTTGCTTGAAAATACATTTACTTAATGTCAAAAGTTATTCAGACTGGCTCCTTTTGAAATGAAAGCCCTGTATACCTAACTAGTGTAATCCTCAAACATCAATCAACTGAAGTTTTATTAAATAGTATACGAGTGAAGAAACTAAAAGATTCRCCCACGCGTGTGTCAAATTTACACACGAGGCGAAGCCGAGTGTGGAATGACACAAATGGTTGAATTAGTTTCTCACGAGTGATGTATAGCGTTTTGTTCAATCCTGCCAGTGAACACAATTGAAATTTTGTAAATTATGCAATTTATATCATAAAACATAGCGGGCACTTCCGTTGTCATTACGTGAGGTCATAGAATATACTCAATATAGAAAATCAAGTAACACACAATTTTCCGGTCGTCAAAATTTCGAGTCTGGCGCCGTCTCTTGTTTGTATGTTGAACTAAAATTGGCGGCAAATTTAAATACTTTATCATTCAATTTTAATTTTCCTATTACAATTTAAACACAAATAACCAAAATTTTCAATAAAATCAGTTATATGTGTTTAATAATAATATTTTGGTTATGATCAAGACATAAAGAAGCACATACAATGGACTTAAATTGTTTATTTATGAATTTAACAAAATTGTACCACACATTATGATAGCATTAACTAAAAGTACTAAGTAAATGGATTTGATTTTACATTTTTGACTGGTGGCTCCTGCATTCTTAAAAAATTCCGCCGTTCAAGATAGTTGCCAACAAAATATAACTGAAAGAAGATAGATTAGGAATAGAATAAATGGTTATACTGCTGTGCACTACAGATTTGCTAATATATGCTCCAGTCGGTTTTCGTGAAAGAGCAGTACATTTGATGTGTAGATTTCATGCCTTTTCAAGTTGATAGAATCACGCAAAACTTTAGAATATTTTGCATAGTTTCCTTATGATACGATCGTCCTTCTTTAGCCGAAAAAAACTGTTGCGAAGACTTTATCATGTAAATTTTTTGTTTGAACTTCTTATGCTTTATTTTGGAATCAGATTATTGATTATTGTCTCATTACCAATCCCCCCAAATGTTGAGCAAAAATTTCTTGGTACCACCGAATTACGGTACAAAGTGTTTTAGCCTATCCGGACTGACTGACGCAACCTCTGTTTGAACTGCGGTCAAAATCCCCCCTAGTTCTAGAAACAGAATTGCGAAAATTTAGAAAAAGCGAAAATTTTCCTTTCTAATTATGTTTTTACCTGTTCAAATTTTGACCGCAGTTCAGATGTCCCCAAATTTCTGGACTCTTACCCAGTAGTTTCAGTAGTATGTAACAAATAATTCGAACTCGAAATTGAAAAATTAACTGGGAAATTGTTTGAACAATACTAGTGAAAGTTGATTGAAAATGTTTTTTGATATTTTGCGCCAAATATCCAAAGATTGCTTAATATTCTGTATTTTTTTAGGTAAATTTAAAAACAAAACATACAATCAAAATATGGCACTAGTAGTTTCTGTTTACTACTGTTTGTCGTAGATTTACAGAAATCTGTAAATTAAAGCAAGTGGCTCTTGGTTGTATGTTTTTCATTAACATATTTGCATATGCCTGTTGATCAACCCTGCGTGAGGTAAAAGTGTGAGGTAAAGCCATAAATAAACATATTGAGCAATTCTAAACGAAAGATTCTTCTTTGAGTGAGGTAAATGAGTGGGCAAATGATTAGCTCACACTTTTATCTCACATTGTCATGAGTGAGCAAAACAAGTACTTTCTCGTTTTGTATCCTATAGAGAAACGACAAGTTTGGATAGCAGGATTGAACAAATTAAAATTACACACAATTACGAACTTGATTTATCCAGGAAAATGACACTACATTAGCTGCAGCTGTCTGAAATTCTCCAGACAAATTTCCGCTTTCATTTTATTGTTTACCATCTCATATTTATTACTCCTACAAAATATTTGGCAACTGTTTATAACAAATTTGTGTGGTTACCACAACAATTTTTGTTCATTCTTGATTTTGATTATTAAATTATAAAATTGGATTTATTTTTAATTTCTTTGTTTTCGGCAATAGTGGATAAAATTCTATATCTCATACATGTTGGAGTATATTAGTGTAACTCGTGTGATTATAGATGCAATCTTTATAATATTATACATAAAGGGAGAGAAACGCACGATTATTCCGGATATACAATTTATGGCCAGAGGGCGAAGTCGGAGGGCTATAAAGCACCAAAGGAATAATAGCAATTTTCTCTAGTGATGTATTTACTATTTTTTTGCTTTAAAAAACTCAAAAAATCGGCTGTAATTTTTTAACAAAAGTTAAAAATTTGCATAATTTTCATTCTTTCTAATTACACAATTACAATGAACATGTTTGTTGACGATGAGCCAATCAATGAAGGGGAATGACTTAGTAACGAGAGTAAATATGTTGGCTCTCTAAAATAACTCTTTTGTGAACTCAAAACACGCCGCAAAATMAATTTTTAGGGGCCTAGCCCTATATGTTCTCATAGCAACTTTAACATACTATGYCTCTTAAAGATCAAATTAAGCGGCTTGTTTTGATTTGTCCTAATAAAAATCTCAAAATTCTCTACGATGTTTAAACATTGTCTGTACAGTTCTGTGCATATTTAATAGTTATTTTTGTATCAAGAGAATAAACAACTATTTTAATCCCGAGAATATAGGTAATGTCAGAGGAGACCGAAAGGAGCCGAGAATGCAATAAAAATAAGTGATTACCATTTAAAATTTCAATGTTGGCTGCAATTTCTCGTAGTTCCGGAAGTTCAGCCATTTTGAAAATAATTTAGTTGAATTCAGACTGGTCGATTTGGGTTGTGTACAAATTCCTATCTGCATTAGAAGTTAAAAAGTTTCTAATGTAGACCCTAAAAGAATCAGCCTGTATAAGGACCTTTCTTTAAAGATTGTCCTTGTGTCACTTTTAATTATATGTAGATGAAAATATTTAAAGACTCAATTAAGATCAGTGTTTCTGTATGATGCAAACGTTTAATTTAACTTTTAAGATAACCCAAGTGTAAACTTGTACGCAAGATTGAATAGAACTCCCTCAGAGAGCCCCGAATGCGAGTTCATGGCTCTATAACTAGTTGCCCAAATAGCCAGATAAACACTGCATATTTAGTAAATTTAGTAAATGAAATAGTTATTTTCCCTCTGAAAATTCTCAGTTTATGTAAAGTTAAATGTTATTTTACAGGCATCCCGGAAACTACGTATTTAACCGCCTTGAAAAAGTTCCCGTCGTCGGTGAACCACTTCATGAGCAACAGCGTCGAAGACGACGTCCGTCCGAGCGTTTCAAGTTGCACGAACATGAAAAAAATGCGCTCGCCTTGTCAGTGTCATTTAGAACTGTGCATAGGTTGGTACCCTTGCGGTTTGAAATATTGCAAGGGTAAAGGTCAATCGAAAAACTCAGTTATGACATACCGTTGCGGCATCAAAACGTGCAGAAAGTGTCATTTATTCGCATATTACGTCGCGCAAAAACAACAATGTCTGTGGGACGAATGACCAACGTGATGAACGACCATCGCGGTAATGCCTTAATTGCTTTCATGACAAGGACCAACATGCCTTAGAGTAATCTCTAGTTGTCGTAAAAAGTACTTCCAGACAAAACGGTTATGATTTTATGTGCCAAATTTGTGTTATTGTTGTTGTTTTTGGGAGTTTTGTCCGGGAAGTCAGTTTTTATACAAACCCCCCTGTATATACAAGGCGAACTTGTTACAATCACCAGGTATATACAAGTGTTTAGCTCTATGAATGTAAGTATTTCATTTGCGACAGCCAATCATTGATGTAATTTTACCTACGCCGCTTCTAGTGTACCATTTGTTTAAATAAATGTATTTTTAATAAAAGCTGCGTTTTCTTCAAGTCCAATCTCCATTGTTCACGCTATTATGCAAATAAGGGTCGGTTTGTTTGAATTTAATCTCAAAGGAAATTTTTCATCARATATACAAACCTTCGCATTTTTCAAAGTAAAGGATAATATCATTTGTATGAGTTCCAGTCGCTTTAGGAATTGTTAAAAAGGTTTAAATGGCAGCTCATTTAACAGAAAAATCGACTTTTCCCTCGTAAAAACCGCAAGAGAAAATGACCTATTTTTTACAACGTGTTTAACACCCACCGAAAAAAAAAAACCCAGTGCTGATTTTGCACATTTTTACTACAGTCTTGAATAAAATTACAAATTTCTGCGCGTTTCTCTAATTACACCCGCAACTTTCCTCTCGACGGGCCAACTTTATAAATGAAATAATTGATGAATTTTAAAATCGGCTTAATAATTCCCAAAACCGATATAAAGTGGGGCCTGTTTTTTGCAAGAAAGACGACTTGCCGGTTTAATCTTTGGTCGATGAAAACGTAGCAGAATTGATGGTGACTGGAATTACTTTTAGGGTATCAGTGTCCACTTTCTTATAAAAAATGAGTTCCATCTTGAGTTTTTATACAAGGACAAAATTTCCCGYGATAAAATGATATTAACGTCTCCTCTTTAGTAAGTAAGTGGACGTAAAAAGAAACTTTCAAACATTTTTGATGATGAATATACCGCCGATTCACACATCCCCTGAAAAGTTTCAAGGATCCTTGCAGAAAACGCCAACATTTTTATTTGTAATGCAATTAGCAATGGATTCACTTACTCCTGAAACTTGATGAAACACCGCAAAAATTAATAAGCCAAATGGAAATTTACATCGTTTATTTTATTGCGTTGCTTAGAAACTAGCCATAAACCTTTGGAATATTTGCAGTGTAAAATACTCGATTCTTTTCTCTACCGTGATTTGTCGACGTGACGAATAAAACAAAAGACACTAATGGGACCTGCAGCTGCTAGTTGGACCACTATTTCAGACCATCCTTGCTTCTAATTAACAAATTGTACACTTGAACCGTTTCCAAAATTTATTGCGAGGTTGCGTAAGTTTAATAGTTAATTAACAAAAATGTTTTTCGCTCTAGACAATTATTACAGTAAATTGTTTTCAATTTGGTGTGTAAGTAACCATTAAATGTACTATCGGGTGTTACTACTACTAGAATGCAAATATTCTTGATCATATGCTTTAAGATTTGCAGAGAACTGAACAGAGCTTTGATGTTGATAATGGTAATTTATAGTTAGTAAAAGCTATTCACTACTGGTTATATTGTGGATGTGTTCAGCCACTTTCGTCAATTTACTCAAATTGACAGATCTGTTCTGACTATCGATTATTATTATTATTATAACATTCCATTTSGACGCGCAGAGAGAAATGGATTATAAATAAGAAATAGTTATTTGAATACAACATTTTATTCTTCGAATTAAACTCAACAAAGCTTAAACTTGCTTTAAATCTTTTAAAAATTATCTGACGTTTCGTATTGAGAAATGCCAAACAGTTGTCAAAACTACGTTAGAGCTTGTTCCAAATCTGGTGGCGAACTGACGTTGTCAAAAATGACTGAATTTTGACACTAAACATATGTTTTCTATAAAAAAAAAGTTTGTTCATAGGCATCGTATAAAATAATATTTCAAAACCACTGTTATTCTTTAAAAAAATATWATAAATATATATTCAAGAAGAAGATGAAGAATGATGAACAAATTATTAAATTGTTAACGCATGAAAAGAATTTTCAAAAATGATATTCCTAACATCCTTGTCTTCAAAATTTTTGGAGAAAAAAAAAGTACGCCCATGTATTTTTTTTATCTTAACCAAGTGGGCGCACTCCAAGTGTCTTTTCTGTCACTGACAGTTCGCCACCAGATATGGAATAAGCTCTACATGGGAGAAAAACCGTAAATTTTGACAGTGTCGAAGAATACATTATTTTATCCGCAAACGTCACAAAAGTGACCACTTTTATGACTAAAACACAGGTAAAAGTTTTACTTTTCAGACATGGAGTAAAAATACTGTTTTTACGTCTAGGCGTTTTCACTTTTGAGACTTTGACTTACTTTGACATTTACCACTGTTGTCTCTTTCTTGTCTCTTTCGCTTTGTCTAGCATTTTCTGGAGAGGTACAAGGTAGATTATCAGCATTCGACATTTTGCACTATAAACTACACCAGTTATTCACCAGTTAACACTCTGAAATCTCAACACAAATTCCGAAACTGACGCGTGACTTTGTTATGATTTTATTGCAAAGCGTCCTGATTATTGAGGTGATTTACTTGATTATTGGTGTGTCCATCTGACTCGTTTGCAGATAAAATAATAGCATAATCTACTATTTTAAAACTTTTGAAAAACTAAAGATAGATTAACAAAAAAAWATATATCTATTATAACATGAAAATAAAATGTTTTTTTATTTATTCAGAAATAAAAATAACAAAGGTTTATTAAAAATTAAAATTTAACTTTGAATAAAACATGATTTATTAATGAATCTCAACTGTTAGAGTTAATAAAAAAAATGTATTATTTTCAAACGAGTGGAAATACTTGAGGTAACGTTAAAAAGACTTTTTCTAAAAGCAACTTTAATAAGTGTACAATGAAAATTTAATCAGAGGATGTTTAGCGAAATAATAAAGTAGCAGTCTTTTTAAGAAGAGTTGGCTCCATTTTTCTAAATTAAAACGGAGTAACGTCTTACATTGTATTACATTTTATTTAATTTTTTATCAAACCTTGGAAAAGTTTAAAAGAAATAAAATTATTTCAGTGTAAAAATGCATCAGCTGGCTGTAATTTAAAAATAATGTTTGCGGTAAATAGCGCCCATGAGACTATGGAAACGATAACTCATAGCGGCAAAAAATAGCCCACTTTAGAGACACATAAATCCACCTTAAGACTTCCTGCAAGTTGGAGTCAGTTTTGCAATAGAGCTCACAAGTTAGACAAGTTGGATGTATGCACTTCAAGGAAAACATTCAGAGATGCATTAAGGAGGAAATTAGTGTAAGTCACTTGTGATACTTTAGACCTCTACTGTCCAAAGTTTTGAATTAACTGAATCAAGATGAAATTGCATGAAACATAAAAATAAAAGCTATTTTGATACGACGATGTTACAAGGTAGACAGACGTACGAGTACGGTTTCGATGCATCTTTATAAAACAAAAGATTATTCTCTCTTGTGCGAGGTTTCTTCGGGGAATAAGAGCTAGTTACATCAAGAAACTTGACACCTCTTTCTTGCAAAAAAAKCAAGGGTTTTATACAAGATTAAATTGTTTGAAGTCATAATACAGAACCGAATTCTCAACTGTTTGCATGATTCAAAGATCTCTTAATAAGCTTGCAACGTTCAAAGCAGTAAAAAAAACACACAACAGTTTAAATTTAATATCAAAGGCAGTCTACATAGAATAGAAGATAAAACTTATTACGTTTTAATTAATTTTCGGGGCGAGTGTAAAAAAGGCCGCCGGAAGAGCAAAACACACAAAGATGATTAACAAGAGTCGCCACCCAAGTCTGTAAAAAAGTACAGCACAAACAAACAGAAAAAAGTTGAGTGCCGCAAGCATTAATTTTCTATTTTAACGAAAGCGTGATGAAAATGGAATAAAGAAATAAAACAAGACTTGGCTGGMGTTAAGCTGGCCACGAAGCGGCGTCGTCTGCCAATTCCCACGTCCTCTTTTCGACCAGACTCGCTTAAAAGTTAACAKCGACTAGGAAATTTGTTTGGAATCCAATCACGGAATGAGTGCATTCGCGGGAAAAACAACAAATGGGTTATAAAAACGAAGAAGAAACGGTTATGGATTCGATGAGTCTTCATAAAATACTCTTTTGTTATTCTCATAAACGATACTTTGAAAATAAAAAGACCCTCGAGACAACCCGCAATAATTTATTTATTGCCAGGAACAAACTCACATTTTTCATAAACGAGTTTTGATAAAACATAAGAAATTTCATCATAAATATCGGAAACCTCAACTTCAGCAGAACTTGAAAAGAGTAAAAGCATCATTAATAAAATAACAGAGTTGGGCGAGAGGTGGTAGAAATGCAGTCTGAATGGAAAGAAAACAGCTTATACTCAAATTACAACTATTTATAACCTTTTAATTTAATTTTATTCACAATCATAAAGTAATCAATTAAATTATCTTGCATGTGAAAAGCTGTCATTTCAACTTCATGTAACAATTAATATGAAATATACAGTTCAGGTTGGTTAGTGGTCACTTTTTTATCAATTGATTAATATGAATTAATTAATTAATTAATATYAATTGGGAAATGGCCATTTCCCAACCCGAAAACAGTAACAGTAAGTGGCCGCTTCCTAACCTGAAATAATATACAGGTGCGCCAGAACTCGCGTCCCACAGAAAAATTTCAAGCAAGATAAGATACCAGGACCATGGAAAAAATGTTTAAAAAATTCTATCTGTCAAAAAATTTTGACACATATTTTTTGACATTTGACATTTTTTTATGTATATTTAATGATACTGATGATCTTGTATATGTCTTTTTACAATTATTTAGTAAAGGTACAAAAATTTTGACAATAAAAGCCACAAATAACATTAAACAAAATTACAATTTAGAATACAGCTTCCTTGCTCCCTCTTCTAACAGCCWGTAGTAAAAAAAAACTTGGAAAATTATTTTTCCAACAGAAATAAACAGAGTCAAAGTGCAAAATTTAAACTCTCATAACTTCGCTACTTTTATAGATAATTTTTTTTAACATTTTTTCCATGTTCCTGCTATCTTACCTTATATGGCATTTTTCTCTGGGGCGCGGGTTCTGGCGCACCCTATATGCCATATTTTTTAAAATTTGAATAATTCTTTATTTTCTTTCTATTTTTTAAGGAGAATGATTGTAAATAAAAAAGTAGTAATACTTCTCACCTCGGTACT